AGATGCAAAAAGGGAAAGGAAAAATTTCAGAAACATGCCTACACTATTGAAATGGATTGATGAAAAAACACAACAACAACAACCAAGCCCTTTTTATCATGAGGTTGGAACTGTCTAATGGATCAAAGGAGTCATAAGGTACGTAGTAAATCATATCTATAGACAATTTAATCCTTATTGATTGAAGGAAGAATAGGCACACTAAACCTTGAGAAATTCCGGAGGTAATCCAACTAACTCTGATTCACTGAAGAGGAAAATCTTGGTATCGTCATTGAGATTTTGGATATATTTGATGCTTAACTCATCAATCTCAGCTCTTATACGCTGCAGCTCTTCTCTTTTGCTTGCAGTGAGGTTCAGTCCATTTCGCTCAAAGTCTCTCACCTGTCACTGATTGGAAAAAAATCAAATATGGATTTCATACATTCAAGAAAACGTATAATAGGACCACGGTGCAATACTACATTCACCTTGTTCATGCTATTACTTTCGAAGAAAATCTTGCATCAAAAAAAAGAATTAAAGCTAGACTACATTCAAACAAACTCCTTGGCTCTTACCAGAGTTTGAACAAAGCGCCTGCTTCAGCATTCATCTTCTCGCCCCTTACTGCAAAGCTTTAATGACAAGGTAGACATCTTCACGTTTGCTGATCCACTTGCATGAACAACACAATATTCAGTTTCATAATTTATGAGATGAAAAGGCACGTGATCTGGAAAAGTCAACCTAACAATATCCATGAAACAATGTGCAAACAAATTCATAAGACCAACCAAGCCATGCACGCAGCTTAAAGTGTAGTGTGAACTTATCCATCACTCTCCTCATAATTAGCTTTCAGTAAAATCTGAAACCACTGACAATAGGCAAGACTTCGTCATTGCCAAATCCATCTTATATCTCTCGATTGGTAGGGCATTTCTGCCCCATCAAAAACTCACGTCCAGCACTTCGTAGAGATCATAAATAGTGCAAGAAACTACAAATTAATGTTAGCAAACCTGCACGCATCAAAATGATCATCTATTCTTCGCTCTGCTTCTGCACTTGCCTTGCGTACATCCTCCCGAGTAGATACCATCTTCTGAAACACACAAGACTGAACCAGTGGAAATTGCTGTGCTTGCAGTTCTGCCAGAGGTTCTATAACATTTGCATATGTAACCTGCAGTAATTGTCAACACAAAACAATAACTGAAAATGAGTAAATGCATATCATATAAAAATATAATTTGACACAGAGAGAGAGAGAGAGAGAGAGAGAGTGAAAATGTAACCATAAAAATGTAAACGTTATCACTTTACCCCCATAAAAGAATTCAAAATAAATGTCTTTGTTATCACTTCAGCTATGAATTTAGCAACTTATTGTCACTATAGTCCTTAAAACTTTATTAACATTGTCACTTAAATCACATGAATATTCGAAACTTAAACTAAAGTCAGTGACATGTTAAACTTTTAAAAACCCTTTTTTAATTTTATTATTTTCAAGGACTGAAGTGACAATATCTCATATTTCGGATAACCAAATTGAATATTTACCCAGTAATATTATTACCAAAGTCACTCATCTATTAATAGTTGGTACAAACATGATTGCACTTCCAGAGCCTTATTTGGAATTTCACTAGTTTCATGACTTGTTGTGCAGCAGTGCAGTATAATTTTATACTTTCAGTTCAGGCATTAAAAGCGTATTCTACAAAAATAGTGATGCAGCTTAACATTAATCTGATTGAAAAATTAGATAACGAACAAAATGCTACTACATCTCAAAGACGATGTCTCGCGTGAAAGAAAGAATACCGATCTTTAAAAACGAATGCGACGATATCTTTAACTAATAATCCAGTAAATAAATAAGATTCGACATAATTAGATAGCGAACAGTGAGATCAGTATTCAGTGCAGTATGTAGATCGAACAGACCGTACTTTGTCGAGAGGCACCGACGCAACAGAATTATGGACCTTCTTTGAGTTGGCAATGATTTGTTCAGATAACTTAAGAATCTCAGGCGCAGATAGGTTAACACGAACCTTAGAACCTGCAAGATCTACAAGTTTCCAATAGTGGCTTCAGTGAAACGATTTTAAAATTTAACAAGTTATTGACTGAGCACGCGTTTCAGGTCGCTGAAAAGCGTAGAGTAAGAGAAAAATGAAGTGTTCAAGAAGAAGAAATACCTTTCTTCTTTGCATTTTTTTCCTTGCGGTGCTTTAATGCGGTGATGGCGAGATTCGCCGCAATCGCGAGCACCGCAGCTCCTCCGGTGAAAACGAGGAGGCTTCCGCCTTTCTTCTCTTTGAGCATTTTCGCACGCTTTCCTTCACTTTCCGTCATTTTCTCTGCTCTTTTTGTCTTTTCTCTTTCTCCCTTGACGAGCGCCAGGGAACGTTTTGTTTTGGGCGGAAAATGAGATGACGCAATTGAATTTGATGTGAATTTCAAAACTCAAAATATGAAAGGAAAACAATTATTATTATTTTTTTTGCGAATTTCTATTTAACTCTGTAATTTCAGTTGATTTATCTCATAATTCAACATTTAATAAAAAAAAATCAGATACCATTTTTTATTACACACATTCTGTGTGGCATAGTGTCGTTTCAACAATTTTAAATCAAAAATATTCATTTTATAGATACTATAAATAGTATTTTTAAATTATAAAGGATGAAGATGGATGCTTTTTAAGTAAAATAAATAAATAAAACTTGCTTATTTCGTACAATGGACCAATTTGGCGAATTAAGATTTTCTTAAGAAAATAACAGGAATTGTTACTTAAAAAAATATATAAAATGACTTATTTTGTAATTTTTTAATGTTGAAATATTTTAATATTTAAACTATAAAGGATATGATGGTTTGTTTCATTCATAGACGTTATATAAAAGGTTCTAATTGGTTTAAGGAAAATTTTAATGGTGCATTTATGAGTTGTTTTTGAGAAAGTCAAGTGAATATATGTGTAGCTTTTTAGATATACAGACTCTTATTTATTTATGTTGAATTTATGATGGTAATTTATGTTTTATATCATGTTTAGAGAAACATTTTCAAAAAATTTGGTTACAAAGTGATTATTATTTGTTTTTGTCGTAATTTTTTTGGATCAATGAGTAATTATTTATAATCTTAAAAGAAGATAACGTTGGTGTTTGAATTTTTATACATATTTATAATTTAAAATTTCTCATTTTGTAAGAAGAAAATCATTGTGACTTATAAATTACCTGTATTTATTTGGATTTTTTTTGTAATATGTATAATATAAATTTTATATGTATTACATTTTTTTATCTATTTTTTAATAATTTTCATATAATAAAATCAAGTTTTTATTGTAATAATATTTGTATAATATTTTGTAACTGAGTAATTAAAGATAAATTGTTTTATTCATTTTCTCATTACAGATAATGAAATCTTAAACAAGACATATTTCTTGTCTTAGGATCATCATTCATTGTGTAATGTGGAAAAATCTTAAAAGAAACAAAGTAGATAACTTAAAACAATACATCACCATCTTCAATATAAAAATAAATAAATAAAATTTATTTAATCGAACAAGTTATACCGAGTCAATCTCGAATCAATTACATATTTTAATTTGAACAAGTCACCAAAATTCTCAAATAATAAATGTTTTTATGTCTTGCTTGTTTTTTTGCGAAGTTCTTTCACCCATTTAAAGTTCATCACGGTCTTTCCAAATTTGCTCTTATCTTCTGACTCGTCGTCCTTGCTCTTCTTCTTGTCTTTCTCTGATGTCGGGGATGGGTCTGGGTTGTTGTCCCATTGGTCAGCCCACGACATACCAGAATCCATATTTTCAATGTAAAATTTCTGATGAGAGAAGAACATGAACATGCATTGAGGAACATTTTATACTTATCATTGTCTTGTAAATCTTATGCCACGTGGATCTTTTCCTTTCCAATGAATCTATGTGTATTTTTGGTATGAAGACAATTTAGGTGAGTGATTCTATTTTAGACACAATATATCTAAATTTAAAATAATTATTCAAATATCTATTATCATTCTAACAATGTTATTTTGAAGTTA